TCCCCCCCCCCCCCCCCCCCCCACATTTATCCAATTCCATTTCTTAACCATTTTGCGAGTTTTGGAAGCTGTTTTATTTGCAGTGTCAAATTTTTCTCCTTCATTTTATGGTTTTTAGATAGTGAGCAATGAATTTTATTGAATTCGAATCGAATCGAGTATCTGGTTAGTGATTGGAGTTTGCTTTTTCAGTTTCGTTTTTGCCCATAACTTTTTTTTGATCAATTACCTAATTTATTACAACTTTCATATCAATATCTCACGATTTATTACGAAATTCTAATGACAGTTTTTAACACTTTCTAAACACATTTCAGATTTTATTTTTAATTTAAATTATAATTTATTTTCATATTTTGGTTTGAATTTTAATTTAAATTATTACAATTTAAATTAAATTATTCAATTACAACGGCGAAACAAACAAGGCCTTAGAATGTAAGTTTTAAGCGTGGATCAACTTACAAAACAATCAACAATCATTTGAAAACAAAATGATGGAGAATATTCAAATGGTACGACGACGTAGCTTTTCTTTTTAAATGACAAAACACAATGAACAGCCCAAAAGTTCTTCAAAAGTAAAAAAACGAACACAAAGGACTCTGTTCAGACAACAAAGATGTCGTTACTCAACCAAAGTGACGGGATACTTATAAGCGACGATTATACATTCGTTTTATGGGAAAAAAAAAAAAAAAAAACGAAAGCTAAGTTTACGCCAAGTATGAGAGTATTTTTTGGTAGAAAACAAATGATTTTTTTTTTTTTTTGGATAAAGAGAAAATAAATATGAGAGTATTATTGTGTGAGATATGTCTCTTGGAATAATGACCAAACTTCCGGAAACGACACGCTCATACGGTTAGATATAGAAGATAAATAACATGTCGTTTTGGGGTAAACGACAGCTCCGGAAGAAACGGTAAACCGTTCCCAAAGGCCAAAACACAACCTAAACCCTTAAACCCAGTCCTATAATGAAAACCTGAAACTTGAAAGACCCTAATGTTTGGTTTACGAGAAACTGGGGGCAAAGGAAATGACAGAAGATTCGAAACACCCACTTGATACCGATGAGTTTTCATCTTCCCAGAGACCTTTAAAGGTCGCGAAAACCGCCGAAATTCCCAGCGACGACAAACAAGAAGAAGAACAACAGTCTGGTATTGGTCCTCCCCAAAAATCCATGAGCCAAAACCCTAGAATTCAGCGTTATCTGGTGGCCATCGAGTACGTTGGGACTCGCTTCTCGGGCTCTCAGCAGCAGCTAAATTGCCGCACTGTGATGGGCGTTCTTGAGGTTTTTCTTTTTATCTTCTCTTTTTTGAATTCAGCGATCGCTGATCTATTCCGTTCAAAGAAAAAACAGAAATACTAATTAGATGTTGAAAAGAAGATAGCTGAAATGAAAAAGGGTTGTCCTTGCCTTTTTTTTTTTTTTTTATTGGAAGTCAGATTTCAATTAAAGGATGTGAAACATGAAAAGCTGATTGATTTTAAGTTGAATTTATCTTTTCCTTCATATCAGATACCTGTAAGGATTAATACGTATTTTCATGGTTTCTGTAGGAGGCTTTTCATAAGTTTATTGGTCAGCCTGTTTCAATTTTCTGCTCTAGTCGAACTGTAAATCTCTCTCTCTCTCTCTCTCCCTCTCTCTCATTGCTGCTGGTGGAACCAGAATTATTTGCAGTTTTGTTAGTTCATAGAGCATTATTTGCCTGTTTTTGTTTATTTATTTTTTGCTTCATAGGAATGTATTATATGTTGTTTAGTTTTGCAGGATGCGGGAGTGCACGCCTTATCAAATGTTTGTCATGTTGATGTTGAGCGCATAAGCAAAAGGAAGCCTGGTGAAGTGGTATGTCTCCTAGAGTTTTTTTTTTTTTTTTTTTCCAGTAAATTAAATATTTGCTCGTCAAGTCTTGATGGGAATTGAGGTCATTTTTACTATGGATTAGTACTTGCAAAGTCATTTCTTTCTCTCCTTTTGCTAATTTTCTAGTTTACCATATGAAGATCCTTGCAATGAACCTGTTCTTGTGTATGTTCTTATAAAGTCATTGCAGTATCTACCTTTACTTTGGTGATTGTTTCATTTTGCTGAAATGCAGTTGCCCCCTCATGAGCCTGCTGTGGTCAAAAGAGCTGTAAACCATTTCTTACAGGTCCGGTCTCTTACAACTCATACAACTGAATTTGTGATTGATCGTTGTGTTTGACTGAATAAGTGTCACCTGAATCTGAACGACTCTGGTGATTTAGATTAATTGTGAAATCAAATGAGCTGCTCTGAATATTTAACCACCCAAATGCAGTGCCCAGTTTTAGATTTTAGAACATAACATGGTATGTCTAAACGTGGGTAAGAGTTACTTGACAAAAAGCTTAGAAAGTCTAAGATGGGGTTTTTTTTTTTTTTTTTTTTTTTGTCCTCTCTGCCTGATGAATCTAGTGAGAGTTAGTTTCATCAATTTGTGTGTAATCTTCTTTTGATGTTGTGTTGGCTGTGAAGCACCTAAAGATTAGATAAAGATTTTGGCTAGTTTGAAGCTTTGCTTCCATAATATAAGACTGGGAATAGCATTTTGTTTTGTGTGTACTCAAACTAGATCCAAGTTGGCTATGAGTACCTAATGCTTGTTTAGATCTTGAAAAATTCATTTTGACCTCAGCGCATCAAATGAAATTTAGTCTTGTTTTTTGTTTGATTTTCTTCAGAAGAATGAAGGTGACATAATGGTGGTTGATGTTCGCAGTATTCCGCGTGATTTTCATGCTAGATTTAAAGCTCAAGAGCGAACGTAGGTACTTATGGTTCTGAACCTTCATTCCTATATAGCTATGTGTCGAGGGACACATATTCATTGTCTAAACGTTGTTTTGCTCTCATAAAATAATATTTTTCAGGTACTTTTACCGTTTGTTGTCTGGGCCTGAGCCTTTGTCAACTTTTGAGAAAGACCGTGCGTGGCATGTACCTGAGGAGCTAGATCTGCTTGCTATGCAGGTTGACATAGTATCCCTATGAATTATTTCTACTTGTGTTATTTTTGACCATATAATATGACTTATTTATCTCTGTGCAGGCAGCTTGTAAAGTTCTTGTTGGCCATCATGATTTTAGTTCCTTCCGGGCAGCTGGTTGTCAGGTTCTTTCTTGGTGCTGTCTGATAGAACAGTCATCTTTGTAAAAAAGGAAAAGCTTTTTCTTTATTTTTCTCGTCTTAAAATCTACTTCATTCTATGTAATTGATTATAGAGTTTTTTACCTTTACAGGCAAAATCACCAGTAAAAACGCTGGATGAACTTACTGTTACAGAAGTTCTTCCTACTCCTTATTTCCCTTCAATAATGGAGAGGAAACAAAATAATTTAACTGAGAAGGGTCCTCAAGCCGGCTTGTCGGCTGATGAAACCTATCTAGGCTTTGGCATGAAGAGAAGACACCGTTGCCTTGTTGTAACAGCGCGCGCACGCTCTTTTCTTTATCACCAAGTTGGTATTCTTGCATGTTCAACATCTCTACCAGTTTCTCTTGAAAATATCTTTACCAAGATACTAATTTATTGTAACTACATGCTTCACTCAGGTTAGACTTCTAGTTGGTGTAGTTAAATCTGTTGGCACTGGAAATTTAACTGTATCTGACGGTGTGTTTCCTCTCTACAGCTCCGTTTATTATGAGATTATTATGATTATGATTTCGGTCTTGCGATGCACTAACTTGTAAATGAAATATTTAGTTGAAAGGATACTCGATGCAAAGACTGTAACTGCTGCTAGTCCGATGGCGCCTGCATGCGGGCTATACCTGGGACATGTGAAATATGATCTGCCGTGAACTTCTCTGTACTTGTCAGACTCCATATTCTTGTTAAAAGATTAGAGCAAATGAGCGACATTTCCTTTCCGGCATGATTCGGTTATCAACAGTTTTGGAAATTAGAATATTTTGGTTGCAGTAGTCCTTACCCATGTCTCGGTTGAAGATATCTCTCTGGAATGCAATGGAGACTTGTAGACCAGAAAATGTAACTGTCCAACCAAACTTGTGATGAGTTACTAGTGATTTTTGTGATTTGGAAGATGGACGTTTTACATTATTAATGTAAATAAATTGATTGTAAGGTCTTAATTTCATTTTTTTATACAATTTACTTTTTAGGTATTTGCTTACTTTATATGAGTAAACACGAAACATAACCAATAAAACGCTCAAATATTTGATTCCATTTTCAAGACAATTCAGTTTGTCTCAAACTGATTTAATCAGGGTCCATATGACAATGTTTAATAACATGATCACAAGATCAGAATTTGTTTTTCTTTTTTTCTTTTTCTTTAACAGAGATGTCATTTTTTTTTTTTTTTTTTGGATAAATAAAGATAGCAAAATTCTTAAAAGCAAGAAAGTCATCTCATCATACTCGAGTTGGTGAGAGATACTTCTATACACTACTTGAAATCTTTATTCGGCTATTACGGATGTTACACATTATGTCCATACTGATCTCTATATCCTAATTCTTAACCCCAAAACCAAAGCAAGTCGAAACTCAGAAGATATGGGAAGCTTGTAAGCTACACTGTCCGATGGAAGTTACTTTCCAATGGTATCCCCTAAGTGCATGTATTCAGAACAAATCTGGCATGCGCTCTAGATTAGTTCAGGGGTAAAAAGGCCCTTACAATGATGAGTTAGCTTATCATCTCCACAACAAAAGTAGTCGAGAGTACGAATCTCCAAGCGTCTCGGAATTCGCCTACTTCATGAGCATATCAATGGCCGCATGAATGGAACTAGTACGAGAAGTACTTTGACGGCGAACTAAAGAATGTGGCCCACCCCAGATGGACTTGCGATTATTGTCAGGGAATAGGGTTCCACACAACTCCAAAAGCATGGGATTCTCAACAAGCTTGATCTGACGTGCTTTAACTTTTTGGGGTGCTTCTTGCGACTCCTGCATCAAATTATATCATCAGTCCAAGAACAAAATCTAAACGTTGATAGATGCACTTTTTTCCCCTCTTTCTCCCTTAAGAGAAGGAAAAGAAAAGAACAAAGAAAAAATATGTAAGAATAAGTTTAATCCAGTAACTAGCATATGATTTTCCAAGTTTTTTGGTCAGCAATCTATGATCAACTTAGGAGATATAGACCTCAATTTTATTGTTAGTGGGACACTACTATAATTAGGATACCTAGCCAACACAAGTCTAAGGCTAACTCTTGTATATGCCATGCGTATATAATGTTTGATGGGCCAAATAAAAAGAATAAAATACCTTTTGCTTCTGTCGTTGAACTGCTCCTTCCTCATGTTGCATTACTGTGTCTTCTTTGTGAGTATCGGATTGGAGTCCATCTCCTGATTTCTCTGCCGGTGGCTGTAGAGATTCTTTATTTGTGTCCTCCATTGACTTTTCAAACTGCTCTGGTGTTTCCTCATTGCCTTTATCTTTCATCTCAACTTCATTCCCTTCATCCTCGTCATCCACATCCTCCTCCTCCCCCTGCTCAACCTCCTCTTCTCCCTTATTTTCTGAAGGGCGACAATGCTGCTTTGATTCCTCCATCTTCACTTCTTTGCTTTGTTCCACTTCAGCATCTGCATTTGGGTCAACTGAAGATTCCTCCATATTTGATGTTGAATTATCACCCGAAGGGCTCTCTGCAGGTGAGGATTCCTTTAAGAGGAGAAAGGAAGATAGATAGGGGCAGAGACAAAGAGTTAATAAAGCAATAAATTTAAAGGCCGGGAACAACAATAACAAAACAACGATACGAAAAACAAAACTAATCTAACAAAATTGATAGGAAAAAATTCCCATCTTCTTTTTCATGTCAAAAAAAGGAAAAGATATGGTAATATCAGTACTACTTAGATGCCACAATAGCAACTTAACGGGGGCGTGCTCATGCTCTAATGCAAAAATTACCATATAAACAAACACACACACACAAAATAAATCTTATATTGCTGTTGTTATGAACAAATTTTAAGTTTGTACCTTTTCGTCTAACATTGAAATGTAATTTGCATTCTAAAAAGGATTATGCGAGTTCCTCAAATATCTTCAATTTCATATATCTGACGCTAGGATTCATTTCATATATCTGACGCAAGGATTCATAACAAAAATTAACCATCAAAAGTCAAGTGCAGTTCTCAGCCAAAAACTTCAGTGATACCTCTTGGTTCAACTCTTGGATTGGATTATTATCACCTATTTCAAGGCTTTTAGCAATTCTAGCATTTTCCTCACGCTCCCTTCTACGGCGCTTCAAAACACATATAGCACATAAACAATCTGATTTATGGCGCCTTCTGCAGAAGAGAATAACACATAGAACCATTCCACATTAAGACATGGCATATGATAAATGACGCCAGTATAAAATCGCTCAAGGAGAAAGCCATAAATTCTGGGCAAGATGATCTTTCTAGGTTCCTGCGTCTTCATATCTTCCAGCTTCTAACATTACATGGTTTTAGACATGGTACTTTTAAGCAAAATTTTAAACATTATACTTTTGAACAAAGGGAATAACAAGATGAACCTGATTGTTTGCGCTCCTAATGTCTTAATTACGAGTTAGGAATAGGCCCAACAAAATGATAAAGCGAAAAAGAAGAAAAGAAAGAACACATCACAACGTAAAATGCAAAGAATTGACTACTAAAACTTATCTAGGAAGTTACAGAAAACAAAACTATAATAGATTGTATGATCAATAAGGTCTAAAGCAGTACGATGAAAAAATATACCCAAACTTCTTTGCGCTCTTTTTTGATTGACCACCTTTCACATATACTTTTATCTGACCTGATGGTGCAACCTTCTCTAGACTGCTCTCAACACCTAAGATGAAGAAAAGACAAATTTTTATGATTCCTGTAATAGCAGACAGACCAGAACCGTATTTAAATAAAAGATAAACCAAAAGAAGTTGTTGTGCTATGTGCAAAATCACAAAGGATATACTAGTGAGTGGCTCAGTAAGAAAACCAAAGGCATAGCAACAGAGAAGAAAGCTATAACTATCAACTCCTCACCGTTAGTTCCCCTTGGTTGTCCACTATACAACCCAGCAGCTGTCCAATACTTAGTAAAATTCTTTTTCACCCGTCTCATAAGGTCCAAAATGTAGTCACCCTTATTATTGTATTTGAAACAATTGTCCCAAATGTACTGCACATCTTTAAATACATCCTCGGAATTTTCATACTTGACACCACTTTCGAGATTGCTACATATTGTCCCAAAATCCATTGGCGTGTCTATCACATCAAAATAATCCTGGTTTCATACAGAAACCGAAAATCGACAAGAACAAATCTTAGTTTGCTTCCAAACAACTGGGAAACATATAAATACAAATGTTGCAACTTAAAATTTCTTCCCCTATAAGTAAAAAATATACACGCATAAGCATGTTGCATAATGATTTATACTTACAGGAATTCCAAGAGCAACAGGATTCACAGGGACATTGAACGGTTCTGCTGCATCCATTTTCATCACCTTCTTTATCACCTACACAAGCAAGATATGCAGAAAACACAAGTACATTTGCATTAGGCACACGTAAAACAGAAACCCATGCGAAAAATAGACTTAATCCAACAAAATCTTTCTAGAAAGCTTCAGTTCAAAATTTCAACAAACCATCAGCGCAGTATCTAATTCATGCTTGTCATATCTAGAATCCTGACGAGGTGTCTTCTCTTCCTTTTGGCGTGGACTCTCTTCCTTTTGGCGTGGACTCTCATCGCTTGTTGCTACAGCTTCAATACTCTGGTTACTACTTGAACCCGGTACCTTTGATGACTTAATCTTTATGCTCCCAGCTTTCTTAGATGAACTCTCAGGTGCAGTCATTTTAGATTCAGGCAATGAATTGGCACTATCTTCTACTTTCTCAGCAACCACCTCTTGTCTGTCCAAATCCATTTGATGGCTACTTTTATCAGTATCACTCTGTGTTGGGGCATCAGAAGAAGTAACTTGGGACTCCATTATTTTCGGGGTTCTAAGCTTCACTTTAACACGCCCAAGCAGTTTCCCGCTCCCTTTACCAATAGAGCCATCGGGATTGATATTAGCAACATTGTGTGGCTGATCAGTCCCAGTCGAAGAAGGCGTATCAACCTCCATTCCTGAGTCATACTTGTTATTTTTATCAAAGTCATCAGCACCAGAGACATTCTCCAAATTTACACCATCCCCGCTTGGAATTTCCACTTTTGCACTCGTAGCAGAGGCCCCTTTGGACTTCCCTTTCTTGTGCCCACGCTTGCGCTTCATCTTCTTCTTCTCTTTCTAACGCTAAACTATTGATCTTCTTTCTACATAAGCAACCAGAAACGAAAGTGAAGAAATTGGCTTAATCAGAATCCAAACCCCATTCCAAATTCCAAAAGTAGTTCCAAAAACCAACTATTTACATCTCATCTTAATTCAACTCTTCACTCATTTTATCAAACATCTTATCTGCATTGCTACATACCAACGCGAGAACACACAGAAATTACGCCAATTGTAAAAGAAATCAGGGCGAAAACTGACGAACAGATTATTCCAGGTCTGATGGTAAAAAATATGCAACCTTTGAGCTAACATTTTAATCAAATCCAACTAAGAACCTAGTAATTGGTCAAAACCGGACGAAAAGTTTTTTTCCCGGGAAAAATTTTTCAAAGTGATTCAAACCTAGCTATAAAGTAAGAGTGAATATTCAAGCAAAAAAAAAAAAGTGTGAATAACAAAATTATTTCCTGGGAAAATTTTTCAAGGTGAATCAGACCTAGCTCTAAAACAAATACGAAAAAGAAAATTATATCGGCAATTCTAACAATCTCCGTCAAAATCTGAACGTATATGTGTTAAAACCCTAGAATTAACATTAATAATCCAGAGCTTCAAATTCGCCTTATCTGAACGTAATGATTTTTCTTTTTTTTTTTCAAAGGGGAAAGAGGAAGATAAAGAACTGTAACTGTACCTGCAGAGAGTTTCGAAGATGACGTTTCGTTTTATAAGTTTCGATCAGGAAGTTCACAGGAAAACCGATCTGTGACCGTTTGCGAACGACGGAGCTTATATCGTTTGCGAGGCTTTCCCATGGGCCTGGTGGGGTAGGCCCACTATTTGTTTGAAGGCTGTTCATTAACCCCCGCATATTAATTCACAATGATTTGAATTTCGAAACATGAATTAGTTACAGATGATTAAAAAAGAATGTTCACATGTTACATTTGCAAATAATTCTGTTCAATTACCTTTCAAAATCAGTTACACAAATTTATAACCATCCAAATAAAAAAAAAAAAGGTATGCTTGAAATTATATTATATTAGTAACTATGAAATGGACATTCTCATAATATTGCTGAATTAAAAAATATTTTAAATGTGGAGTGTAAAAAATGATCATTTTGTGTAAATACTTTATGAGACATTAATAAGTATGGCTATTTATTGCTACACGTGTGAAATGCAACCAAATGATCACATGGCAAAAAGCATATGTAGCAGCTTTTCTTTAAAAAAAAAAAAAAAAGAGAGTATAGATAGGTTTATTATTGTTACGTATCCATTCCGATGTATTATTACAATTATGGTGATTGCATTAGCTATAAATATATTTTTTTAAAATATGAAGTAATACGTCAATAGGCGCTACAGTAGGATTTCTTTTTTCCTTTTTCCTCTTTGAGAAAAGTATATAATTTACCATGATATTTTATCCAGATTTATATCATTTTAAATAATTACATATTATCATGCTTTTTATTTTTTTATTAATTAAATAAAAATTATTTATTTTTTATTAGAGTGACATAAATAATATTTTTTATTATTTGAGCGATATCTCTTGTTTTCAACTCTCCCTTTTCTTTTAGCCGTTTTTTCTTCTTTTTCTTTATCTTTCGGGAACAAGATATAACTTTGCTTAAAATATATTTATACTCGTGGTTTATAATCAAAGTCTATCATGATCGTTAGGTATATTGAAAGCAAAAGGTCGTTTGTAATAAATCCTACCCCTTGTTTTATATATGCCCACACGATTTGTTTTACAAATCTTTTACGTGCACATGGAGTAGCCACTATCTAACCGACATTCCAAATTTAGAACGAACAGGGAAAAAAGAGAAAAAACAACCTTAATTGCCTTGGATTAATACAAAAGAAAAAGAAAAAACTTATATTCCATGTACTTAATTATATACCATCATACCAAGGGGGAAAAAAAACACAACCTTAATTGTCGTGGACACAGCAATTATATATAGAGAAAAAAAAAACTTACCATGCCACATAGTCATATAGTACATACGGATTAAAAATATAACATAAATTTTATATAACTCTAATAAAACTTACTACTCAAAAAAAAAAAAAAAAAAAAAAAAAAAAAAAAAAAAAAAAACTCTTATAAAACTTCATGTTGAATTAGTAGCTAGTGAGTTTGCTTCCGGCCGTTCATGACATCGTTTTTTCCCATTTGATCCAATCCCTTCTTCTCTACTATTATATGACATTGCTTACACGTATTTGCACATAAACTTGAAAGCAAAAATAAGTCATTGAATGAGAAAAAGGAAAGATAGAAGAGACGAAGAACAAAAGATTTAACGTAACTAAACAATATGCCTACATTTACAGATTAAAGTTACGATCACTTATTTACTTATTGATATCATTATAGAGATAATACCTTACCTTGTTTAAAGAAATAAAATAACAGGAAAAGGAAACTACTGCAAATAAGAAAGTAAACTACCCAATTATTAATAATAAATAGCCCAACGAAACTCTAAATAATATTAATTAGGAAAGGATTTGGAAACTAATATTTCAACATATAACACATATACAATAAAGTATATATAATATGTTAATTGAACATGTCAAAAAGCTTGACGTCCCCAAATAACCAGGAAACTCCTCGGAAACAACTACCTTCCACGACAAGCAACATCCACTTCCTCAGACTTTCTCTTCGACCCTCAGAAAATCAACTCCTCATAAGGTGTCCCTACTATATGTGTATATATATAAATATATATATATATATGTGTATATATATATATATATATATATGGCTTAACATCACCACCACCATTCACATCTCATGCCTATATAATATCATCACTATATACCTTACCCTTATTCCTTTAATAAAGCGATTACAGCTTATTTATTACAAAATATAATGTCTCTGAGATCAAGACCTACCACGCAGCCATCCACCTCCGGCGTAGAACTGGTTAAGGTGCCAAAAAGCACGCAACAAGGTCAGCCCACTTTCTCGCAACGAGGAATCTCTCAGACTCTAACGAGCGCAGCCAACTTGGCCAACCTCCTCCCGACCGGGACCCTCCTTGCCTTCCAGCTCCTCACTCCCATTTTCACAAACAACGGCGCGTGTGACCCCGTCACGCGCACGTTGTCTTTCCTCCTCCTCCTTCTCCTCTCCTTCTCCTGCTTCCTCGCTTCCTTTACGGATAGCATGAAGGCCTCCGACGGCCAGGTCAAATATGGCCTGGCCACCTTCAGAGGGCTGTCCTGTTCGACTACCCCGACCCCACCGGGTCGGATCTTCCCGACTTGAGTAAGTTTAGGATCAGGTTCATCGACTGGGTCCACGCGGTTTTATCGGTGTTGGTGTTTGGCGTGGTGGCTTTGAGGGACAAGAATGTGGTGGGTTGCTTTTATCCGCAGCCAGGACACACGGTTCAGGAAGTTCTGGACATTGTTCCGGTTGGGGTTGGGCTTGTTTGCAGCTTGTTGTTTGTGGTTTTCCCCACCAGAAGGCACGGAATTGGCTACCCTGTTACACCTGGCAAATAGTTTTATATTGTGAATGAACTTGAATTCTTCTTCTTCTTCTTCTTCTTTTTTAATCCGGTTATTATTCTTTTGTTTAGATACATCATTTTTAGTTTTCTGTTATTATTATTTTTTTTTGGAAAGAAGTGTAAGATGTATATATATACAGGATGTTTTTACATGATCTTATTAATACAATATGGATGATCAGTTACAGTTTCATTCCTTTGAAGAAACCGTGTATCGATGATGAATTCTCAATAAAGTGGGCAACTATGAAAGAAATACATTTTTCTTTTTTCAGTTTATTATTCTTTTAATTATGTGCTTTCTTTCTTTCTTTCTTTCTTTTTTATTTATTTATAGTTTTGTTGATTTGTTAGTTTTTGTGGAAGGAATTGTATGAGATATACAGCTGTATATGCGTTGACAATATATCATAAATAAATAATATTTGATGATCACCAGTGACACAATTTCATTCCTTCACGGAACCAGCCAGAGATTTTTCATGTTTTTTCAAGAGTTTGTTCACTTACGCGTACATCTATATAAATATATATATATATATGTATGTATGTATGTATGTATGAATGTGTGTACTGTTTGTGTATATGTGCGTTTAAAATCAAACTATGATAATTCACAATTTCAATTGAGAATAAACGGAAAAAATTCCTTACAACAATAAACAAACAAACTCAGCCCGTTCATTTTACGGATTTAAGTTTAGAGTTTGAGTTTTGCTATAGTAAAAAGTTCTCAGAAATAGTCACACATCTAACTTTTTTATTACAGTAAAAAACTCTCACATAAAGTCACATCTCAACTCAAATTAAAAATTCAAATCAGCGAACTAAACGGGCTCTCAATATATTTACAATTCCTGACATGTGGAAAAGCGTTGTAATTTCCTAAAAAAAAAAAAGCGTTAATAATTGAGATAACTGATCAGGCGTAGCATAAACTCGTTTATAAGAGGGGGATTTTTTTTATATTTTAGTCTCTTTGTTTTAGACTACTTTTATTTTGCGATTGGTTTGTGTTAGGTAAACATGGCTATTGTCTAATTGTTGTCTTTTTGTACTTCAAGAATTTTCCTTGTAAATTATATTTATTTGAAAGTGTTTGGTTTTGGTTAGGTGTTGATATATAGTTTAATTGTGTTCTTCATATGAGAATAAGAAATTTTTTTGCTGATTAACACTTATGAGAGATGGAAATGGTAAGAAGTAGAAGGAAAAACTTAAGTGAGGAAAATAAAAAAGGAGAGATTTTTTTTTTTTTTCCTTTTATAGTGTAGTGTTTGACAGATAAAGAAAAAAAATGATTGAAGAAATTGTGTCTACAAGCTTACTTTACGTTATTTTGATGTGAATTAGGTGCAATTAGAGGCTAAATTCATATCTCACTTCAATTAAAACAGTCATGATCAATGCGTGTGCTTACTGAATGTTGCAAAGATTTTCCTCACTCAATACTTGTATTCTCGAGTATCACGGATCGCAAGACACGAAGAAATTGATAAATCAGTAATTAAATTCTGCTGAAATTATCAATTTTTAGTTTGTCAAAAATTAAGTAGTTTTACAAATTGGATGTTGAAATCTTGCCCATTAACCAGGGGCAAAAAGGTCATTTCTCACATTTATTTCATCAAAGATATGAGGGGCCAATTTCGCAATTAAGAAGAAAATTAACAGCCAAAATGTACTTTTCCATAACTTTTTTTAAGGTAAATTGTATTCCAAAATAAAGAGATACAAATACTAATATCATAAGTGACCTCGCAATACAAGCATAGCTCAATCCCAATTATTAGCCGGTTCCACCATTTATCGTGTAATGCAAGAGGGGAGGAAAACGTGTACGGAGCTCCTCCAATAGGAAGCTAGCATAGGAAACGAGTGCACATACGTTTTTTGAAAAGGGTAATCTTGACAAATACCTCTTGAAAGTGCATGAGTAAGAATTTTTAACTTTTATTCTTGATTCATAGCATTTTTAGTCAAATAATTAAGGTATTTGTAAAAATAACTCAATTGGAAAGTTTTAATAGTACAATAACTTTTTAAAAAATTTTATTTACAAAATGACTACGGAACGACTACTTTTTACAAAGAACGACCAGGTGGTCATTCTTTATAAAAAATGAAAAAGATCATTTTGTTAATTTCACTTTATTGTATAGTTATTCTAGCATATTTCTTATTACACTAACAATAGGGTATTTATCAAGAGTAAGAGGTAAAGGTCCAGACTCATGCACTCTTAAGGGTAAATTCTCTATTTTTTCTTTTAAAAAATACAACTCTATAATTGATGAGCAACTCCGATCGGCCAAGTCTAAGATACCTATAGACCAAGAGTCTCCCATAACACCACCAAGTAAAACCTCAAACGGATGGAACAAGACAAAACAATCAACCGGTAGGAAAATCACTTCGTTATTATAAACTTAAAATAACCACACGAAAACAAGCCATAAAACCTAAACGGCGGAAAATACATCGCCTTTATTAGACACAAACAACTTCTACAAGAAGAATCACTAGTTTCAAGACAACCCGCATACCTAAAAGGGGTAGGAAGGAGAGATCTATACGGAGCCAAGATTGACGTTTTATGACAACTCTTGTTCCCCCACCTTTTCAGTGTTCTGGGGCTCTATCCCGCTCTGTGGGCTTCTATACTCTCCATAACTGAGGAAAGAAAGCCCGCTCGCTAGCAACCGGACCAAGCCAGCCTGCCCGCTTGCCACAAGCAAGAGGCACCCTTTGATTGCTTGTTGTACTCCTTCTACCATATTTCTTTGTCTTTGCTTTACACTTTAGTCCCAGATCGATTATAATGTTGCGTTTGGATTAAGGATTTGTGTCATGATTCGAATCATGATTCGTAGCTCGCTATAGTGTTTTTTTTCACAAAAAACATACGTAAATTGAAAATAGTTCTGAATCATAATTCTGAACCTATGAACTAAACGTCCACTAATTCTTCTTTGGTATCCCAATAAGCATCTGATGAGTCATGATTGCCTTGTCTCACCAGTTTAAGGCATCGTACATTTTACTTATTCAAGTTTTTAGTTTTAGGTTTTTACAGTAAAAAGCTCTCAAAAAATGTCACATCTAATTTTTTTTTTTACTACAGTAAAAAGCTCTCAGAAAATATCACATATAAACTTGAATTGAAAACTCGAATCTGCGAAATAAAGGAGGCCTAAGTTTTAACTATCTATGGTAGATTCCTAGCTGAGGGAGACTTCCTCTTGGAACGACTAATTGCACGACAATGACCCCAACCATGGTACGAACCATGTGTTATATATATATATATATATATATATATAAAGAAGTTTGATATTTGATTCATAGATTAGAATTATTTTTGATTTACGTGTATATTTTGTGAGAAAAAATACTGTAGCGAATCATGAATTATGATTTGAATCGGGGTACGAATCTCCCAACCAAATAACTCTTTATTTTCAATTTACATGTATTTTTTATGAAAAAAATACTATAATAAACTATAAACTATAATTTAAATCATAATTTGAATACTCCAACCGAACGTCTCATAATTTCCAATTTTTTACTTGAAAACAGAGTGTGATTTCTGAATTCCAGAGATACTTATTTGGACCAAGTTGCACTCACTAATGGCTAATATAAGCCAGTTAGATTCCCATGTCCCCACATGTCAACTTATGTGGACCCCATGATAATAATATTGCATTCAAACCACGAGAAGCCTTGCAAGTGACAAAAAATCTAATCTGCAAAGATCTACTAGTCTCATCATAAATCTAAAGCCAACTGGGTTGTCTTTTCATCTCATCACCGATCAAAAAACGATGTCAATCTCTTTCAGGCTCAGTCCCTTTTCAATCACTTCACAACAACAACAACAACGACAACAAAGCTTCTTTATTTCACAATCACCACAAACTCTTCTCAGACGAAGACCCAGCTTTTCACCTCTCAAAAAGATCACAAATCCAATTAGAGCCGTCGTCAATGGGAACAATTCTGACGGCTCGGCGAGTTTGGCTCAAGAGAAGAAACCCAGATGGGAAAACGTGCTTTCGACGGCGGCGAGCTTGTATCCGGTGTATGTGAGCGTGGGAGGCGTGGTTGCTTGCGGGAAGCCCTCTGCTTTTGCATGGTTTGTGAAGGCTGCCCCTGCTTCTTATAGTGCCGCACTTGGGTTAATCATGTTGGCCATGGGCATCACTTTGGAGCTCAAGGATTTCCTCGCCCTCTTCTGGCAAAAGCCTCTTTCCGTACGTTCTAATTTCTTATTGTCATATATTGTTTTCTTTTTGAATTTATAGTGGCTTATTTAACTTTAGAATTAGATGTGATTTTTATTTTTATTTTTTCCTTTTTCAACTTGGTACTTGGTAGTGATCCTAGTGGGGAATTTGAATTTTGGGTGTTGTTGTCTCTCCTTGAATTTTAGAACTTGGGGGTATTTTTTTTTTCTTTTTTTTCTTTTTTCAAACACCTTGCGATGGAATAAGATAAGGAATTACCGCTACAATTGTCTGCAATCAATTTTTTTTTTCTTTTTCCTATTTGATTGCAGTGAAATTTGATAATTGCGTATGCTAAAGTTTTAGTTGATGTTTCCTTAGATTCAGCTGTGCAAATGCTTGTTTTGCTTTTTAAACTTCTGCGGAATGAATTAACTAGAAGCAATGAAGTTCTGTAACGAAGTGATTAGTTAGTTGTTGTTTTACCAACATAGTTTGAGTTTCCATCAAGGAAGGAGCTCATTTTTTGTTCCAGATTTAGCTGCAAAAGATGGAAAGTACTCATGTTAGAAACTTCTCACTTGTGATCAGATACTGTTTGGATGTGTCGCTCAATACACAATCATGCCATCTTTTGCAGCCATCATCAGCAAAATCCTGGGTCTCCCACCGTCTCTTTCTGTTGGTTTAATACTGCTTGGTTGTTGTCCCGGAGGTACCGCCTCCAATGTGGTACGGCTTCTTTCCAACATTGTTTCCTTTCTTTGCTTTGTTCTATCATCTTCTTAAATAACTGTTGAAATTTTCTCTGAAAGCCAGTTTTTCGAAGTATCTTTAAAAATATGAAATTGGGTCTCAAGAAAATAAACTATCTATTGATGTTGACACTTAGATAGTGGCTAATGCATTATAAATTGTAACATTCCTATCAGTTTTTATTTTTGTGCAATAGTGTTTCAGGTGACCTTAATTGCTCAAGGGGATGTTCCTTTGTCTATTGTAATGACAGTATGCACCACTCTTGGGGCAGTAGTTTTGACTCCTTTACTCACAAAGATACTAGCGGGAGCTTATGTTCCTGTCGATGCCGTCAAACTGTCCCTTAGCACCCTTCAGGTAAAATTTGAACTAAATTAGTAAACCTCCAAGGATATGATTTTGTCTATTATATCAAACTTGTGTCGTTTCCTTCAATTCTAGGTGGTTGTTGCACCAATTCTGGTGGGGTCTTATATCCAGAGTGCATTTCCCGGGGCAGTAAAACTTGTGATGCCCTTTGCACCCCTTTTCGCCGTTTTAGCATCGTCACTGTTGGCCTGCAGGTTTAGTTATCTGCATTTCTAAAACTGTGTTGAATTCGATTCATTTATGATGAACTCACTCTCGAGGTCTTTTTCATTTTTGGAGCCAGTGTGTTCTCAGAGAACGTTGTTCGCCTCAAATCTTTAGTGGTTAGCGTATCATTGACATCGGATATTTCTCTAACGCAACGTGTTCAAGCACTATTGACCAGTGAACTGGGGGTTGTAGCACTTTCTGTGCTGTTATTACATTTTTTTGGTTTCTTGGTGGGGTAAGTATATGTTGATGACTTCAAGGAATTCATGTTCTTTTTATTCTTTAGCATCATGATGTGTATTTACTGTGGCAGACATATTTTGTGGTATTTTTTTTTAAAGATCTGATGCAGTGAGTGTTGCATCTAAGAAAACCATTAATTCTTCATAACCAGGTACATATCAGCGGCGTCTTGTGGCTTTAAGGAACGACAACGGCGGGCGATATCAGTTGAGGTATTACATTGTAGCGTCAAGAGTTCATTATATAAATTGAAACCAGCTTACTTGGTTTGCTAGCGCTTTTGGTTTGTCATCCATAGTTGACATAGATCATGGTCTAATTGGTCGGCAACATTTTCCTGTTCCTCATGTCGTTGCAGGTTGGTATGCAAAATTCTTCTTTAGGCGTGGTTCTGGCGACGTCCCATTTCACGTCACCAATGGTCGCATTACCCGCAGCAATGTCTGCTGTCATTATGAACATCATGGGCAGTAGTTTGGGTTTCTTTTGGAGATATGTAGACCCTTCTGATTCCAAAAATAGTCCCAAAGTTGACAAGTGATAGAAGAGCCCTTCATGAACTAATTGACTAATTTTCATTGTGCCTTAGTGCCTTTGTCATTCTCTATGTATCTTTCCCATTTAAGAAAGGAATAATTGATACTCGAATTATTATATTCTTATTTGTTTATTTATTAATTTTTACTATGGCAACAGAAGGTGAGTCATTCTTATTGGCCTTTTCTTTTTGGTTTCTTACGGCACATGAATAAACTACACCCACTAGCCCCAAATAATAAAGGAATATTATGATTTATGAGTTATGACCAAGATATAAAATTTGTTGTTTCCCATTGGAGAAATATATGGATCTTAGCGTTTGTTTGGCAGGAGAAAAAAAAATGAAAGAAGAGATAGTGGTGGGGATCAAAGAAAGGCAGAGAGAACAAACTGAATGTCGGAAAACTTTCCAAGAATCCTAATTTCAATTCTTTACAATTTGAAGGGATTTTCTACATGGAACTTTCCCAGTTAATTGGAATATGATGTCAAATTATTTTGCTAACCCTCAAGAATATCAAATAAAATAAACTCAATTATATAAAATGATAATTGCAGAGAGAGAGGAAAAAAATATATATATATATATTTCATTTCCCTTCCCTTCCGTCTCCATACCAAATATGGAAAGTGATTTTCCAGCTCAATGTCTCTTATCTTCTCCATATTTGATCTCCCTCTTGCCAAACAAGGCTCAAGCAATGCCAATATTTAGAAAGTAAGATTTTGTCAAACTGTTACACACTCACTTGTGACAACCCATAAGAGTACAACCACATGAGTTCAATTTGGGTTTCGAATCCATCGAAAGTCCCTACTTAATTTTCACCTGTAGGCGTTATTATCAATTAAACAATAGGCCTGCTTCTCTGTTTCTATATATATGCACTTTGTATATACTCAAAACTCCTTCCTGAGTGTGATTTTTCAGTGCTAAAAATAGCTAACCAGAAGTCCAACAGCTTTTTCAGGTATCATATTTTTTGTTACGTGTTGTTTTTCTGTAATTTGCGTTGTCGTTTTTCTCCTTATTTTCCTTTTCTTGTGGACAATGGAATTTCTTTGCAGCAATAACTGTTGTATTAAAGAACTGGTCATCATGAAGACGAAAAACTCAAACTCCAATAATGTGGAACTTTGTTCGGATCATAGGAATAAAAATGATCACAAAGGAAAAAATGGATCGAGAACAACAAACGACATGTCTCAAACTGTTTGTTTATTCAAAAAATATCTCCTAGCAAGAGCTCAATACGACAACATTGGCAAGACTAACACGGAAGAATCTGAAGTTATCAACAAGTCTCCACACCGCCACTTGCTACCGATTAAATTCAGTCGGAATAGTTTGTCCCGGCCACCGTCCCTTCTAGAGAGGAATTTGTTACCGGAATTGAGGTACACAAAACATCTTTCTCTATGGTCTAATTGGGGTTTAACTAAACTTGCTTGGTAACTTTTTCTTCTGTTAAACATGCCGAAATTGCCACAAACAACGTTTTCTTTTCGTGAATTGTTTGAAGGTGTGACTCGGAACAATCGACTCAGTCGCGTGCCAACAAGGCTTCAGGATCATCACAATTCACGATATTTTATGATGGAAAAGTCAATGTTTATGACAACGTTTCTGCTGAGAAGGTGAAAATAAAATAAAAACTAAAGCCTATAATATGTACTAATTCAAATTAGAAGAAAGTCAAGTCTATAATAATCAATCTACTATTATATTGCAGGCACAAGAGGTAATGCTTATTCTTGGTGGTGAAAGCTCTTTGTCAAAACCTGTTCCTAAGGAAGCTGATTCCAGATCATCACCACCTCGCAAATCTGACTCACAGTCAGTTCTTTATAAGGCGAAGCCATATATCTTTCTACGATAAAGTCGTCACTAAAAGCTTCGGTAAACAACGTTCTTTCAACGATGACTCGAAAAAGTGTCTGTATTATGCTATTATTACTTTTGGCAAGCATACTAATCGCTAAAATTCTCTTTTCTTGTATTGTTATCCTTTTAAACTCGGGTATTTACTTCGCATATTCAGGTGTTCCATTGGCAAGAAAGTATTCGCTCCAATGCTTCCTTGAAAAGCGTCGCGACAGGTAAAAATCTGAATGAAAAGTCCTGATAAAATGTGCTCTATTCTAGTTCTAGTTCTAGTTATAATGGAACTGAAACTGATCTTAGCTAATTACATGTTTGAAAATTTATAGCACGAAGAATGCACTAACTTACATGGCTTGTGTTTTTGCAGGATAACAAGCAAATCTCCTTATGAAGTAGTAGCTTCCAGTCCAAGTAATGGTGCGACCGAAAATAACCGCCCTTCTCTTTCACCTTTCCCTTCACGTTTAGGCTACTTCTTTCCTGTTGCAGCCAATAAAGGGCCCGTTTAGTTTGCTGATTCGAGTTGAGATGTGATTATCTGTGAGAACTTTTTACTGTAACAAAAAAATTAGATGTAACTGTTTTTGAGAATTTTTTACTGTAACAAAACTCGAATTTTAAATTCGAATCAGTGAAGTGAACGAGACCAAAAGCTCTTAATAGGAAGGGACTAATAATTAGATACTACATATTTCTAGTAATCCTACTAATTATAACATATCAAATTAAAGCTCTATTAAATTTAAAAGTGAATTCATTTGAGAGACAATATTATAGCAGAAAAATTTGAATTTAAATTTTTATAAGAGAAAATACCGTAATAAAAACTTGAGTTATAATTCGAACTAGCAAAACAAATAGGCCTAAGTATTGTAACGAAACATATTCTAACTCTATTAATTCTACGGTTCATGATCAGAAAACGTGTTTGGATGATTTCTCGTGCATAATTTTTTTCTACATTCATCAAATCAATTTGAAAAACAAAAAGAAAAATATATCACCAAATCAATTCAGTGCATTATCTTGATTCTTGAAGTTCTAATGGCATTTAACTTTAAGATTGCAAGAATATTGGAGTCAGAGGGCTAAGGCTTGATTTGATTAGTTTGCCCTTTTTATTTTTTAATTTTCTCTTCTTAAAAGTGAAATGCACTATGTGGATCCGTTAAAAAACTTCGATAAATCCCCTTTAAGTTTAACTAAACATATATCAGTTACATTCATTGACTACTAAATACTAATATGGTAATAGTACTTCCTCTTTATATGGTGATAGCGCAGGATAGTTAGTAAAGTGGCACCTTATCACATTCAACGTGAAAAAAGAATAAATAAAATAAATATGAGTGGCAAGTTTTTTTCTTTTAAAAAATAAAAATAAAATTAAAGTAGCGAGTTTTCTCTTGAAAAGAAGTATCAGTTTGCATGATTATACACAAAAGAAACGAAAAAAATTTTCTGATTCTAGCGTAGGATCCCACGTACGGATGGTGAATGGATGAACTTTTCAGTAATTGAGGATCAGGATTGGATTCTATTACCTTTTCTGTCCCCCTTTCCCACCGGGAAAAAAAAAAAGTTTTATACTTTGATGTCTGATGATGATTCTTAAAAAATAGAAGACAACCTCCTGTTTGTTTTCGTTTTCATTTTTATTTTTTATATTTTTTGAGACTAAAAAATAAAAATGAAAATATAAGATGTGTTTAGCCTAAAAATTTTTTAAAAACGAAAACAAAATCATTTTTGTCTTTTGTGAAAAATTAAAAATAAAAAAAATGTGTTTTTATTTTTTGAAAACGAATTTCATTTTTTTTTTCATTTTCTTCTCTCTCTTTTCTAAAATCGTTTTTGTCTTATATAATGATGTTTATTTAATATATTTAATAATATTATTTATTTAATAGATTTAATTTATATATTTAATAATATTATATATTTAATAGATTATTATTTAATAATATTATTTATTCAATATATTATTATTTTAAATATTATTACATGTTTTTAAAAATTAAACCACCAAACGCAGTTTTAGTTTTTTTTTAAAACTAAAATCAATTTCTGAATAAAACTACCAAAAATATTTCAGAAATAATTTCAAAATAAAAATGAAAACGTTTTCATTTCTATTTTCATATAGAAAATAAAAATATTTTGGAACCAATTCCAAATGCACCCGAGACTTTTACAGTAATTCGAGTAACAAAAACGCATGGTAAACTTCTGTCGTTTTTCACTTTGAGTTCTTCTTTTACTTGCAACTGCAAACAGCTTCGGAGACTCGATATAACAGAAAACCGAATCTCGAAAGCATCGAACATGCAGCATCATTCCTGGTCCTCCGTAAATAAAAATCTAGAAAAAAAAAATAAAGAAAATTTATCTTTTATTCTTAATAAATATTTTTTTATTAATATAATTATTTAAATAAAAAATAAAAATTGTGATTCATATAATTTTAAACCGTGTTTATTTAAGTTAAAGTTAGAACTTAAATAAAATTGAGTAAAATTAAATAAAATTAAGACTTAAAAAGAATCTAAATTTAAATAAAATTAAAACTGTTGTCTTTTCGGTTTTTTTTGGACAAAGAACAACCCAAATCTAATCATTACTCAGTCGCCCCCACAAAACACGGCCCAGATGATCAGATCCCTTCACTTCTCAGTCGCCACTCAGCAGCACTCCGTCATCACCAACGCCAATCAAACAATAATAACGAACAAGATAATGGAAAATTAATAGTAGAAATCAATTATCAATTATAATTAAAAAAAGAAAAAAAAAGCAAATTTCCTCTCTCTCTTGTCTGTTCCAATATTCCATAATCATCAAATTCAAACTCTTGCTCTGAATCTCTTCTCTGAGAAGAATGGCTCAGAGCGGCGATGAACCTCCCAAGCCCAAGAAATCGGAGAGTCCGCCGCTTCCCAAGCGCTCCAAGACCCTCCCCGGCGCCGATCACCCCCACTTCCCGGGCCCACTCTTCCCCGCTATGCGTCGCAACTCCCACCGCCCCCTTGCCGCCGCCGCAGCACCAGCATCAGCACCGGCTGCCGGATCTCCGCATCTACACCGGCAACAACAACAACAACGACGACGATGCTGCTGCTGCTGCTAATCTCAATAATCGCGACTGGTTCTACCCTTCCTTTATGGTCCCACTCGCCCCCAAGCGCGGCGGACCGGCGCCGTTTGATTCGCGCGTGGGTCCCGCGGCGCACGGCAAGGTCGCCGTGGACAAACCACAGCGGATCGCGGCGTCGGAGGCGAAGCCGGGGGTTGAGAAGAAGAAAGTGAATGTGGTGACGAGTCGTCCTCCCAGTTCGATCTCTTCCGCCAGGGATTTGATTCGGTTAAAGGCTAGCAGGTTATTGAAACCTAAATTCCTGGTCAGTCCCTACATATTTGTGTTGTGTTTATGCTGAAAATTTTGTAAGTTTTTTTCTTTTATTGTTCTTAACTTATTATCGTCAATTTAGCAGAAAATTGATGGCTTTGCGTTGAATACTGTGTATTGCAGCTGGCGTTCATTTGTGTAATATTTGTATCATATGAAGTATGCTTGCATCGAAGACTTGCAAAACTTGTGGTAATGTATACTTCCAGAGCTTCATTAGCAAATACACATACATATATGTGTATATATGTGTATACACACAACCCTTTTAGAGCTTGTTTGGTAGGACTTGGGAGGAAATGACTTGAATCAGGGATACAAAAAATATCCTCCAAAGAGCGATTTTGATCCCTCCAAATTTGGGGGGGATAACTGTATCAAAATCTATCTACTTAATTAGACTATGGTGTCAAATTACTTTTATTTCCGCCTTATTATGGGAAGAGACTTACCATTTAAGGAAATTAAGTAATTTTTCCCCACCTCTCGAATCTGTATACCAATCAAGGAAAGTGATTTTTGTTTTCTTTCCTTCCTCCAATCCAAACACCATAAGGGAAAGGTTCTGTCTCCCTCTCCAGCTTATTTAGCTCTCACTACTTCCTATTTTCCCTCCCTCCTACCAGGCATTCGTTTTGTTCTCCAATTTTGTTTATGTAAATATATAGATACATTCACCTCATACTTTTTGCATATTGATTTTCAGGAAGAGAATGCTTTTCTTCACAGATCATGTGGCGATAAAGATAGTTTTAGTAGTAGCAACACCAGGGATTTGAAAACTGAAGAGAGCAAGATATCAGGTTCAAATTTTGGAAATGGTGACAGTAGAAGTGTTGCTCTATATACTTTTGCCGTCACACTGATAATGCCATTCTTGTTGTACAAATACCTTGATTATCTTCCCCAAATAATGAGTTTCTCAAAAAGAACTAAGAACAAGAAGGAGGAGGTTCCTTTGAAGAAGAGAATTGCCTATACTGTGGATGTTTGTTTCTCAGTGTATCCTTACGCAAAGTTGCTTGCGCTTCTTTTTGCAACTATGTTCCTTATCGGGTTTGGTGGATTGGCATTGTATGCGGTCAATACGAATAGTTTTGCTGAAGCTCTTTGGCTTTCTTGGACTTTTGTGGCCGACTCTGGAAATCATGCTGATACAGAGGGCATTGGACCAAGAATTGTTTCTGTGTCTATAAGTTCAGGAGGTATGCTAATATTTGCCATGATGCTTGGGCTCGTTTCTGATGCTATATCTGAGAAGGTCGATTCACTACGGAAAGGGAAGAGTGAGGTCATTGAAAGGAATCACATACTCATTCTTGGATGGAGTGACAAACTGGTATGTTTTCCGAATACCGTTATAAATGATGTATCCTCTATATGAAGTGTCTGATTTGTAAGACTTCCTTTTCCAGGGGTCATTAAGATTCAAAGTGCCTGGTTTTAAGTTTTATATGCTGTATGGAAATCTGTAGGATGTCAATTTAGAAATGGTAGCGTGTTGTCTTACATTCTCAAAGGACCACCTTTTCCTTTTGAAGAGTCCCTAAAAGGCCCGTGTTTGATTGCTTTTCTTGCATTTGCAAAGTGAATCTTCTTGCATGCCATTGGCATACTTCTCTTTACTATTCTAAAAGCCACCACCTTTTAGTTTCACCTCAACGATCCTCGTAGTCAGAATGTCAAATGCAAACATAAAAAAGCAGTTAAGAGTTATGCGTTTTCCGTAGGGTTCACTTTTGAAGCAGCTGGCTATTGCAAACAAGAGTGTTGGTGGCGGTGTCGTGGTTGTACTTGCTGAAAGAGATAAGGAAGAAATGGAGATGGATATAGCAAAACTTGAATTTGACTTCATGGGAACATCTGTTATATGCAGAAGTGGCAGTCCTCTTATACTGGCTGATCTGAAAAAGGTGCAAGGATGTAGCTCGGCTAATTTCCTCGCCCTATTACTACCTGCGAAAGTTTATATTTTGGAGAGCGCTCAATCCTCTCTCTTGGGTGTAAAATAGTATAGTTTTTGTATTTAGATTGATGTTGTTGTTTGATTCGGCAGGTTTCAGTGTCAAAGGCTCGTGCTATCATTGTTTTGGCAACCAATGAAAATGCTGACCAGGTTATCCCCAGTTTCTGATGTCCTTGTTCTTCTCATTTACTCATCCTTTATGTGCAAAATAATAATTATATCATGTTCCGTTTCCAGAGCGATGCCCGTGCTTTGAGAGTTGTTCTTAGCCTCACAGGAGTTAAGGAGGGTTTAAGGGGCCACGTTGTCGTAGAATTGAGTGACCTTGACAATGAGCCTTTGGTGAAGCTTGTTGGGGGTGAGCTCATTGAAACAGTCGTTGCACATGATGTGATTGGACGCTTGATGATACAATGTGCTCTACAACCTGGTCTTGCACAGGTGTGATGAATTTCACTTACATATCTCCTGTCTAATTACTTTATGCATCTACTTGTAGACTAGTTTTAATCATTGGAACTATTGTTTTTTGATCTGATTTTTCATATTTTGGTCAGATATGGGAGGACATTTTGGGGTTTGAGAACGCAGAGTTTTACATCAAAAGGTGGCCTCAATTGGATGGTGTTCGATTTGAAGATGTCCTAATTTCATTTCCCGATTCGGTCCCATGTGGAATTAAGGTTGCTGCAGAGGCTGGAAAGATAATATTGAATCCAGATGACAATTATGTCCTCAGAAAGGGGGATGAAGTCCTTGTCATAGCTGAAGATGATGACACATATGCTCCAGGTCCCCTTCCTGAGGTTATACTCCTTTTCTTAGTCCACTCAGCAGCAATGTCAATGTTTCTGCTAGAAGACTTCTCAAAAAAACAAATTGTAGAATAGTATTCTCTTTTTAGTTTCTTAGTGTTGTAACAAAAGGTATGGTATTGAAGTATCTTTTCTTTTTTCCCCCTTATGAATTTATGCCGTGTCCTATTCACAGGTACACAGGGGCTCATGTCCGAAAATTGTTGACCCTCCTAAATATCCCGAGAAGATATTGTTTTGTGGTTGGCGTCGTGATATTGATGACATGATTATGGTAATTCCTTAACAGCACAAGAATTACGAAATTGAAAATTGGGAGTAGAGAAAATTGCTCACTGAATGTGAAGTGATCCCATGATCTAGAATCTCCTTACTTTTCTAGATTTGTTTCCACCTGATCACTGTATGCATTTCCTTCTCACAGGTTCTAGAAGCTTTCTTGCCACCAAATTCAGAACTTTGGATGTTTAATGAGGTTCCTGAGAAAGATAGAGAGAAGAAACTTACAGATGGTGGACTTGACATTCATGGACTGGTGAACATAAAACTTGTTCACCGTGAGGGAAATGCTGTGATTAGACGGCATTTGGAGAGCCTTCCTCTGGAAACTTTTGATTCGGTGCGATTTTATGTCCTATTTCTCTATATATAGTTTATATAATAGCTATACATATCTCTATGTATTGTTTACACACACACATGCGCGCATGTGCCCGTGCGCAATTGCACACACACGCATACACGTTCCTTGTGCTGCGAGATTGTAACTTGTTGCCCAGTTAACTAAGCGAGTTTTAGTGGAAATCTAAGTTGTGCGGACAGATTCAGAAGTCTCTAAAATAGTCTTGTGTTGGACATCTTAAATTGAGTACTAACGCTAAATGGACAGATATTAATTCTTGCAGATGAGTCATTAGAGGACTCTGTTGTGCATTCTGACTCAAGATCTCTTGCCACTCTTCTCCTTATTCGAGATATACAGGTAACTGCTTTGCTGCCTCCAATTTATTACTCGCAAATAAAACACACGTGCATGTAGGTTTAGTCACTGAGACCCTGATCATGGTTGAGGCTTCCCTAGATTGAGTGACCTGAAGCTCTTAATGCAACCGTGATGGAACATTTGATAAGCTTCCCCCTCCTTTGTGTTTTTCAGTCAAAGCGTCTTCCTGACAAAGATACAAAGTCAACTTCTTGGCGGTTGTCTGGGTTCTCTCACAGCTCTTGGATCAGGGAAATGCAGCAAGCTTCCCACAAATCAATAATCATCAGTGAAATTCTCGATTCTAGGACAAGAAATCTTGTATCAGTGTCCAGAATCAGTGACTATGTGTTATCAAATGAACTCGTAAGTATGGCACTAGCAATGGTTGCTGAAGACAAGCAAATCAATCGGGTCCTCGAGGAACTATTTGCAGAGGAGGTATTTTTCTGTACCCCATTACTAGACTGCACTGTTTTCTTCTGCACTCCATTTAAAAATTCCATTTGCAAATGCCATCTGTATTAAAATCCAAGTTGATGAAGCCTGTGTTCTTTGTTTGACGGGTTCTTTTCTATATGCAGGGGAATGAGATGTGTATCAAACCAGCAGAATTCTACTTATTTGACCAGGAAGAATTAAGTTTCTATGACATTATGATTAGGGCCCGCCAAAGGCAGGAGATTGTGATTGGTTACCGGCTTGCAAACACAGAGCGCGCTACCATTAATCCTTTGGAGAAGTCAGAACCAAGAAAATGGTCCCATGACGATGTTTTTGTTGTCATAGCCTCGGATGAATGATAAGGAAGTCTGAGTTCTAAATCCTCTGTAACAATATTCAAGCCACTGCCAAGTGCCAACCTCTGTTGTAGACCAACCTGACCATTCTTTTCCCTTACTTTGCATAATCCTCCTGTTTACCGACGATGTCACAAATATGGGTAAGCCATATACGGGAGAAATATTTAAGATTTCCAAGGAAGAGAGCTTTGTTTTACCGCTTTGAAAATGAAAATGGACTGTAAGAAAGGTGATAGGTCTAATTCAACCTCAAAAATTTTCGTTGGCCTCTCAACAGAGTTTGTTGGAGGAGGGCATTGTAACTTGTGTTAAAATAGACATGATTAGCAAGTGGATGAGCATTCTTAACCTGCTAGAAGGGGCTAACATGTTGTACATTTTGTCCGATTTATCAAAGGGAAGTCATAATGTAATTTATTTATTTTTTCTTTTAAAAATAAACGAAAGGAATGTTAGATGAAAATCTCGCTTTAATCTCCTCTTAAAGCCTGTCTTTCTCAATGTGCATTTGCTCTCTATTTTCTATTTTGCTTTATGATAGCTCGTTGTATTCGGATCATTTATTTTCTTTTTATTAGTTAATTTTAAACATTGTAATGCCAATCAAAATGCAAAGCGAATTGAACGTCCACAATAATTTTCTTCTTTTTTTCTTGGATACTTTCATTAAATTAACAAAAATATATGGCTACATGGGGAAAAATCATCACAATTGAACATGAAACTTGAACACAGCCGAAAGCAGGAGAAATTTTTACAGAATGTACAAAATCAAAACCACAAAAACAAAACAAAATCATCTCACCTCACCTTATTTTTACAGAATGTACAAAAACAAAACCACAAAAACAGACTGCCACAAAATTTCATGAACCTCTTATAATTTAAAAATATTTATAACAAACTACTACTCTCTCAAATAGATATGTTCATCATTTCCACCAACAAGTTCTCCATCATAATCATAGCCGCGGCTTCTCCTGAGCAATGCGTCTCCGAGGTTCGCTTGCCTGCACCACATTTTTCTCCATAAATAATGTAAAATTTTCAATATGAAAATCGCAAGGAGAGTATAAAAATGGGACACCAAAAGAAACCTACCATATAAGGATGATGATTTGCATTTGGCATTAGTATTAGTGCTACTAGGCAGCTTGAGAGGGCATGCTGAAAGTGGAAGAACAGGAAGATTTTGACAATTGCAAATCTCTATCATGTAACCATCTGGGTCATGAAAGAAGAGCTGATCAACTGTAACCCCACATTCTTCAACCACTGCAGTCGCATACTCTATGTTCATCTCCTCTAGCTTCTGCATTACAAGCTTCATGTCCGAGCATTGGAACGATATGTGATTGTCCTTTGGGTTGATTTTCTTGCCCTTCTTTGGTGGGATTGTGTTTGACTCTAGCAAGTGAATCCCGATCCCGTAATTAAACAACCTAACACACATATCACGATAAATAATCTTGATAAATAAACTTTAAAATTACATGAGTGAAAATTTTTACTTTAATTCATAACTTTTTTAATCAAATAATTATACTAATAAAAGAGTATTTATCAAGATAAGGGATATAAATCTAAATTCATATACTCTCACAGATAAATTCTCTATTTTTTCAATAAATAGAATAAGGCTAGTTGCCATCATTGATTTATGCAATTAACACATATTTGTTAGTGTAGCAAAAATTGTACTATACTTTGAGAATACGCATCGGAAGGAAAGTTGGTTTTCAAAATAACACTAAAAAGTCACGTTTATCCCGTGTGAAGTGATTAGGGAAGTCCATGTAACATGACGAAAGATATTCTTCGGCATGAATTTGGGCGGTCTTAGAAAAATAAGATATGTCCCTTCATTAGAAAAAAAAAAAAAAAAAAAAAAAAAAAAAAAAAAAAAAAAGAAAAGATGAAAAGAGGAATCATTATTGTGATAGTAGATTTTTTTTTTTTTTTTTTAATTTTATCAAAAGCCGGTCCCATAAACAAGAAAGAGAAAGAATAGTGAAGAAAGGAAAGGCCCTTTTCAAGTTGACAACTGGACTGGAGCAAACATGTTACCCCACGAGTACCATTTTACCAGATCTCATCAAACACACAAACAAAAGCCTTTCAAGTGCTTCTCAATGTTCACAACCTGACCCCTCGACCACTTGAAGAGCTAACTGCTGTTATGCATTTGGATTTTTCTTCTAAATTAAAAGTTTATTATTATTATTATTATCTTCTTTTATTATTGTTATCATTGCTCGCATGTATAAGTTTTTTAGAGCTTGTTCTTTTTACAATTTAACTCATAAATAAGTTTTATTATTAAAGTGTTTTATTTTAAAAAAATTTAAATTTAATTTTTTATTACAATATTTTTTCTCACATACACAATTTAAGTAAAAAATTTGAGTTGTGAAATAAACACACCCTTAAAAATATTAAATTGTTAGATCCATAAACTAAGACTGTTTAATTCTGTGTGGCAACAGGAGTTTAAGTGTGGTAGACTTTAAAGGTTGTGAATTCGATCCTGCTTTATATATAATATTTTGAGACTTCCAAAGTTGTGAATTTCATCCCGCTATAACTACTAATTATTACACTTAATATTATATAACAAACATTACTATACAGCAGTTTTGACATTCTACATAGTGAGGAAAACGTAGAATTAGTGTTTTTTTATGCTTCAAAATCTAATTAAGTTAAGAGTAAATTGTTATTACAACATATGAAGCATGAGCTAATCATGGCACACTTGAAATGCGGCCGATATCAAGGCAATGTCATACTTGAATGAAAAGACATTTATCGATTTAAATTTAAAATTTGAGTTTGTTACAGTAAAAAATTCTCAAAAGTAATTAAATTTAATTTTTTTATTATAATAAAAAATTCTCACATAAAATTACACCTCAACTCAAATCAATGAATTAAACGGTCCATTAATTAAGTTGGTTTGGTCATCAATTCTCTATGACAGGTATACACAGCGCATCAAATGGACTCACCTAACCGTACTCACCTTTGAAAAATCATCACGCTTTTTGCCCTTTTCTTGCAAGAAGCAAAGAAAGAACAAGCATATATAACATGATTCAATAGAGAATGTGATGGTGTAAAACACACACACACACACACACACATATATATATATATATATATTCTATTGATATTGTGTGGTTCTTGACCACAAAATTTCCATTAAGTTTTGTGAAAACGATGTATATGTTTTTTTAATTCAGACATGATCCTGACCTTCAGATACAATTGGTACAAAATTTATACTATAATAGTTTACATATAGATATATAGATATATCGAGGTGAATGTATATTTAATAAGAAGCAAAAAAAAGCGAGAGATGGAGACAGAGAAAGAGAGAGAGAAGAGGCATACCAAGCTCCTTCAAACTTGAAGGAAGAAGGGCGTTTGATGAGAACAAAACCCAAAACTTGCTCATAAAACCTCGCGGAATTGCTTACTGACTTGCAAACAAAGGAGACATGATTTAGAGACAGCAGAGGCATCTTTGAAGACAGATTAGTTCTAGTATTACTCCTCCAACTTTCTATATCATTAGCATTAATCTCTCCTAAGCTCCACATAATTACTCTCTCTCTCTCTTCTTTCTCTCTCTCCTCCCTCTCTAAGGTTCTCTCTCCCTTTGGCTAATGGCTATCACAACCAAACCTCCTTAATAATAATACAATGTGGCTTAAGATGGGCATATATATAGATCTCAATAGTACCTGACTTGCAATCTCTCACGACATTTTCCATACAATTATTGTGTACCTGAAATTTTTTCTTTTAAAAATAAAACAAAAATACTAAAACAAGAAAACAAAATTAATAATTATATAAAAAAGGTTTGGGGGGTTGGTGTGAATACAGCAATGTAGACCCCGTCTTTTTTAAAGAGTGGGGGGATAGGAGAGTGCTAACGTTATAAATTGTGATACACGAAATCTATTTTCTCTGCTATACTGGGATATCTTTTCAATTTAGTTATTGACAAATTCATTTTCTTATTTTCATGATATGTGGCAGTCTTATCCACACCGACCCCCTTTGGACTTTTCTGGATCATACCAAGTCATAATAATTAAGCTCATGAAGGGAAAAAAAAAAAAAATTACTAGCAAAAGTACTAATAATAATATGCACATGAGAAATTCATTTCCTAGTGTTGTATTTTCTAAAAACTTCCATTAGGTTTTTCACTTTTGTGGCAGGGGTTACATATGTTCACAAGATAAGATTCTGTCTTTTGTTTTTGGATGCGTTAGTTGAGAATAAGAATTCGTGTCATAGTTCGTGATTCACTACATAAATTGAGAATGATTCTGAATCATAATTATGAACTCATGAACTAAACATCCACGAATCATATTTCTTACCCCACAAATTAAAATGTATCCTATCAGTAATCAATTTATACTTCACCTATAAAATCCGTTAGTTAAAAATGGTGTCCTTGTTAGGTATGGTCTCGGTATGAAAATATTATCACAAAATTCTCATATATATTCCGTCGGGAATCTACACACACACACACATATATATATATATATATATATGTTGCTCTCAATCTATACATATTTGGACGGTACTAACATTCTCATGCTTTCAAAAATGACTAAAATAATGGATTTCATTAAGAATAATGTTCTAATGGAATAAATCTGTGGAATTAATTAACTTTGTAACATTCTGGCGCATTATAAGGCGTTATTTAAAATAAAAAAAAATAAAAAAAAAAACCAAAAAGGAAAAAGCAGAAAGTATTTTAGTACTTCACTTCCCAGCTAATTAATTGTAATAAAGTAAACCTACATATCTGTAATCCACTTATTTCTTCTTGTTTTTTTTTTTTTTTTTTTTATTGTTTATCCACTTTTTTTTTTTTTTTTTTTTTTTTTTTTTTTTTTTTGATATACCAATTTATTGACCTGGCAATTGAAATTGCTAAAGAGGGATTGATAATGATAATCCTACAGCGAGACAGCTTTGCACTGACACATTCTTTGCTTTTAATAATGGATAGATTTTACACCCAAAGATCTACAAGTAAAGATACACGTTGTTGTCACTCTACATATGCATATTATATATATATATATATATATTCACACACACACACACACACATATATATATATATATGTATTTGCTGTAGCACTAAAGATACAAGTATATACCAGAAAAAGGATGTATGGGGGTAGTTGAGGACAAAACACAGTCAGGACTTCATTAGAATGGGCTGCAAGTACAACCACGTGAAATTGTTTTTGGAATTAAATACGAGAATCTAAAGCAACGCAAGTAGATTATCTAAATAACTTTAGAATGGTATTTTTAAAAGAAAATTAGTTGCCATGCTACCAATTTTATATGATGTTTTCAGATTTAGGCCACAACTTGTTTGTGGTTCTTACTTTTAAGTCTTTTTAATCTTCAACTAGTCCATTTATGTGACATAAATTTGAAACTTTACTGTCTTTAACATGAATCCGAAGATGAAGTTTTTCTATGGTATTCTTCAAATTTTCTTTAGTGTTAAAACCTAGAGATGGCAAATGGATCAGGTTATCCGTCAAATACATCGACGAACACATTATGACACGAGGTTACATTGAGTCGAGTTAAGCACGACATATGAGATTGGTTGGGCTCATGATTTTGAGCACGTTTGGCTAGCATGGTACAACCACAAACATAAACTTAAATTAAGCACAGCACAACTCATTGAGCACGAAATGAAGAATAATATTATAACATAACATCTTTACAGGAAAACTTGTATTATTCTTGCATGAAACCCCAGGTTAAGTCACGTTATTAATTAAGATCATGGCCATGACTTTTCACAGAATCGGCTATACGTACTACCGTGTGGAAGTACGTTGTTCAACTTTAATGCAATAGTTTAAGCAAATGTAAGTCTCAAGCCGGAAAAGAAAAGTCTAATCAAAATGGAAGTGGCCAAGTGGGTATTCACGATCTGCTTTTGTTCTATTTTTCAAAGCTATATATGCAGTTGATCTTCAATATGTAAAAGAAAAGAAGTACACCCACACACGAAATGCATTGAAAAAATATAAAAAACGAGAATTTTGTGGCGGTATAATAAGAAAATATCCCATTGAAGGACGCTATTTTATCCGCATCCATAGAATTATTAATTAATTATTGTATACTTTTATTAATCCGACACAACTCTAATATGACATGAAACTAGTTTAGATCAATATTTTATTAATATGACAATTTTTTTTATTCAAATCATATCACAAAAGTCTGAAAAATAAAAAAATAATTTTAAAGGAGTACATGATCAGGAATAGATGATTAATTTTTCTTTTCATTTTTTTTTTAAATGTAGATTCTTCGTTGCATGATGTTTTCTTGTGGAGAGCATCCGTGCAAGATATGATTGCCAACCTTCTACCTTTCTTGTTCGGCCAAATGTTAAAGATTACTTGTTAAAATGAGTAATCATCTTGTAAATATTAATCTATAAAAATCGAAACAATAGACCTTATAATTCGTAATCATGCACGAGGATTTGTAAAGTAGTTAAACATAGATAGTAGTTTTCTTGTTGAGACTCAGTCCCAACTCTGCTAGAAGGGGGCATAAATCTAATTGGTTCGACAAAGGAAAACGAACTTATAGCTCATGATTAGGTAAATTATACGACGAAACTTCTAAAATGCTTCCACCGATGAAGTGTTGTTTTTGACTGTTGGATTAAATTTTTAACAGTTAAATCTGCGCATATCCGTATTAAAAATTTACACAGTACAATACAGAATTATTCCTTCTGCAGATTTGATCGTAAAAAAAAAATTTAAACCAACAGTCAAAAATAACACTCTCACCAATGGAAACATTTAAGGGGTTCTATCGTAGAGGAAACCACGTAATTTTATTTTTTGAGAGAGATGCCTCGTAATTAAGTACATGCTTCCATCTATTCATATCCCTTAAAAAAGTTTCCATATATTAACCCTATTTTGATGTGTAAAATTTTGATAGCTTAAAATGTTACTTTTTTTTTAACCCTTTTCTTTTCAAAAAATTGGGATCCATAGATAATAATCAAATTAAGATGAGCATATTTTGAGTATAAATAGGATTACATAACATTTTCCATTAAGATAAGTCTATAAGTTGAGTAAGTACTAATGAGTACCGACAATGCGTATATCATGCCTTAACAAACAAAAAAAAAAAAAAAAAAAATGTGTATAGCATGCACCTCGTGAATAGAAAAATAAAATAAAATAATAAAAAAGCCAGCCTGTTAAGGTTCAAGAAAGTCAACAAAGAGTCCCCACAAAATGTCATGCATGGAACATATCATACTTGTGCTCAAATTCAAGAAACAGTGACTTTCCGTACTAATTGTAGTCAAGACACCTTTTTCCCCATCTTTTCACACGAGATTTTTATATAAGGCCATTTTAGATTTACGTTTTAAATCATCGTATCATACCAGATTTTATAAGTTTTACGTTTTTTTTTTTTTTTGGTGGTTTTGATTAAATTTGTTGTTTAGAAACATGCAAATACACCACATTATGGCCTATAATATTAAAAACAAAAAAACCATTTTTTTTTTTTCATGTTTTCGTAATTTCGTTTGTTACTACTACAGGTTGTATTTGTCTGTAACTTTAAGAATAATATTAGCCAACGTTTTTCACGTTGGGTTTAGTGTTTGAATTATCATTACTTGTGTTTGTAATAATGCAAGTCGTTCTATAAGAATCACCTCTAGTTTCATTAAGAACAAGGATTGTGTTTTTGTTTTTTTTTTTTTTTTTTTTTTTTTTTTTTTTTTTTCCTGAAAGGAGATTGCGTTTTGATTTAGAAACAGAGAAAAAGTTTTTTTTTTCTTTTTTGAAACTGTGTTTTTTTTATTTTTTTTTTATCGAGTATTAGATGGCAATATAAAAATGGAAATAATGATGGCTCCACCACCTATAACAATGGTGGCCTGTCGTCTTTCCTTTTCTTGACTTGGTGCAATGGTTATGGACTGTCTCTGTATCGCGTTGAGCGTTAATAATTAACTTTATTGAAAAATATTAATGAATGGATAAGTTAGGAGAATTTTGTGATAGGTACACGAAAATATCTTATTTTGTGGGTTTTTTTTTCTTCCATTTTTAGATATTAATGAATTTTTGATAAATTTATTTTTTGTGTGATTAATATTGTCACCCAAAAACTATGGGTCTGTTTGTTTTTATTTTTATTTTTGTTTTCATTTTTCACGTTTTTCAAAGTTAAAAAATGAAAACACAATCTAAAAACACGTTTTGCGCAAAACTTTTCAAAAAATAAAAACAAAAACGTTTTTGTCTTTTTGTGAAAAATTGAAAACGAAAAAAAGACGGTTTCATTTTCACGTTTTCGTTTTCTGAAAACGGATTTCAGTTTTTGTTTCTTCTCTCTCTTCTCCAGCCGAAGAAGACACGGGACATTCGGCGAAAACCCACCGTCGCTCCTCTCTGACTG